TTTTCTTCTTCATGTATTTTGAGTCAGTTCTCAACATCTGCCAGGTATTAAAGCACAAAGAAATTATAGATTTTATTAGGAAGAAACTTTGTATAGAATAATGCAGAAAGAAATTATTCATATTAGCATAAGACATCCATGAATATGTCTGTGAACTCATCAACTCCTGTTCTGGGCAAGGATTTCTTCTAATTTTCAATAAATAATGTCATGAATAATCATGTTGAAGAAATACAGACTGGAATACATTTTCATTAAAAATGTTTTAAGAAAATATATCTGTACACGGATCTTTTTGTTATAAACAAGCATAGCCCAAATTATATGGGATTTTACATTAATTCCCATATCTCTTTAACTTTGCTCTTTTGAACATCACAGAAAGAAAGCTCCCCAACTCCCAACACTCCCACTGCCGTGAACTGTTGGGAGCTGCCTTTCCTGGTGTCAGGAGCTGTAACCCCCGCCATGGCTAAGGCTGAGTGAGCAACCTTCAGACCTTAAGCCACTAAGGAGACAAAGCTTATCTCCCTGGCAGGAGCGCCGCTTCTGCTCCTTTTTCCATAACTGGCCTCTAATGCTTGATCAGTTAGCCAATGACGGGTAAGATTCCCCAAGGGGGGAACGACCTAAGACAGGCGTGTTCACATGGAGGCTCCAGGGAAGGACTTGGGGGGGCTGTGGAGAAGGGGGGTGATGGACACTTGCCCCTCGGCTTTAACGAAGCCTGAGTCATCATTTCTCCTAATTCCTTGACTATCTGCCTCCTCTGCCTGACTTAAGCTTGAAACAATGACAAAGGGTGGTGCAGCCCTGAGCTGGAAAGGGTGGGCTCCCCAGGTGATCAGGCCTGAGAAAGGCTATGTAGAATCCTGTGAAGCCTGCTTTGCTACAAATGCTCTTAGTTAAATGATAAAGGCTCAAAGAGGAAATAAGTTTGTTTTCCAAAGTTTTGTAGCCTTTTAGCTGATAGACCCTGACTCAGAAGAATCCTTAATAATTCTTTGTATGCTATCTACTATTTGATCCTTACTGCCTGACAATAATTAATGAGCTATACCTGTATTCCTGCACAAATTAAACCCAATAAAAGCCTGTCTAGGCCAGGGTCAGTGCTCTCTCCTTGAGGGAGTAGCCATGCGGTCCCTTTTCCTCCACAGGACTTCGCAGTCCGTGTGAATTTGTCTTGTATCTCATCCATGACGCCGTGGGCACTGTGAGCCGGTGCACACGTCAATGAACGAATAGAGTAGCCCAGTGGCGGAGTAAAAGGATAGAATAACTACTTTAACGTTTACACTATAAGAAAATAATTCCTAAAAGCTAATGAAGCAAAGGGCATGACAAACCTGTTGGAGAAGCACTGTCCCCACAGGTACCGTTCATCAGATGAGGCTCTCCCAGACTCGACTTAGAGTTGGTAACCCTGGAGTTCCAGTGACCACACATTATGGAAGTGTTAAATTGGAATCAAGAAATCAGGTAATCAAGACATCTAATGAGCTCAGCATCTAAGACAGTACAAAACAAATACTATTCTAGAAGTATAGAAACGAAACTAGCCCTGGCTGGTGTGGCTCAGTGGATTGGGTGCAGGCCTGCAGACTAAGGGATCACCTGTTCTGTTCCCAGTTGGGACACATGCCTGGGGTGTAGGCCCAGTCCCCCACTTGGGGACGTGTGAGAGGGAACCGATTACTGTGCCTCCCACGCATGATGGTTCTCCCCCTTTCTCCCTCTCTTCCTCTCTAAAAATATACAAAATCTTTAAAAAAAAAAAAACGAATTCATTACAAGAAATCAATTCATTAGGCCATGATACTCAGGGCATTAGGACTTGATTTCCTCACAGACCCGCATGTGAGAAAGGCTACTCTGGAAGGTATTGTTCACACATAAAAGGAAATAATTACTAACCATCAATGTGGCAAATCCATCACTACATAATGGAAACATATTACGTGTGGATTTCTGAAAACTTTTATATTTTATTCTCTGAGGTCTTTTGCTCAGAACACTATAGAGAATGCTTAGAATGTTAAGCTTTTCCAGCCCAACTGAAAACAGAAGCTTAAATAAACAAAAACAAAAAACAGAAAAAGGCTAACCCATTGCTTCAGGTATAAACAACTATTTCATAGGACAGTGAATCAGGTACATGATGGAGGATTTACAAGAACCCAAAATAACAATCAGATCACAAAAAAGTGAATATCCATCTGATACTACCATAGACTCACTCCTTTCAAGTATCAGTTATTTTCTGCCATCTTTGCCACATTATGGATCAAAATTCTTTCTCTGGCACTTTCTCTAACAGAACAGGAAACTACAAATCAAAGGCATTACCTGACCTTTCAGAAGCTTGTTTCCAACAAGCTGTCTCAAGGCTCTTCGGGGCCACACTGGTCTGGGGGCAAGACTGCTCCCCTCTGGGGTGAGCACACTGGCCATTCTTCACTTCCACGCTGCATTATGTTAGGGCACCTGCCTAATGTAAGCATATAAATGCACTAAAGTAATGAACAGGACACAGAAAAAGTAGCTTCATGCTACTGAAAATATGACCTGGCATTTGTAAAATGTACAGTTTTAGATAATAAAAATATTCTGTTGATTACGCTATTATTGTTGTTCCATTTTTTTCTCCCTTTATCCCCCTCTGCCCTGCATCCTACCTTTTCTTGGCATTCCCCTTCCCCCCTCAGTTCATGTCCATGGGTCAGACATACAAGTTCTTCGGTTTCTCCATTTCCTGTACTATTCTTAACCTCCCCCTCTCTATTTTGTACCTACCCATTATGTTTCCTTTTTTAAGAAAAATTTTATTTTTAGAGAGAACAGAAGGGAAGGAGAGAGGGAGAGAAATATCAATATGCGGTTACCTCTCTCACACCCCCTACTGGGGACCTGGCCCGCAGCCCAGGCACATGCCCTGATTGGGAATCGACCTGGCAACCTTTGGTTTGCAGCCTGCACTCAATCCACTAAGCTACACCAGCCAGGGCCCATTGTACTGCTTATTCCCCTTGCCTGTCTCCCTATTCTTCCTCCTCCCCACTGATAACCCTCCATGTGATCTCCATTTCTGTGATTCTCTTCCTCTTCTAGTTGTTTGCTTAGTTTGATTTTGTTTTGTTTAGGTTTTTCAGGTTCAGTTGATAGTTATCGGTTTGTCATTTTACTGTTCCTAGTTTTGATCTTCTTTTTCTTAGATAAGTCCCTTTAACATTTCATGTGTAATAAGGGCTTGGTGATGATGAACTCATTTAACTTGACCTTATCCAGGAAGCACTGTATCTGCCCTTCCATTATAAATAGCTTTGCTGGACAGAGTAATCTGGATGTAGGTCCTTACCTTTCATGACTTGGAATACATCCAGCCCCTTCTTGCCTGCAAGGTTTCTTTTGAGAAATCAGCTGATGGTCTTATGTAGACCATTGTAGGTAACTGTCTCCTTTTCTCTTGATGCTTTTTAAGATTGTCTCCTTATCTTTAATCTTGGCTAATGTAATAATGATTTGCCTTGGTGTGTTCCTCCTTGGGTCCAACTTCTTTAGGACTCTCTGAGCTTCCTAGACTTGCATATCTAGTTCCTTCACCAGATTGGAGAAGTTTCCTCTCATTATTCTTTCAAGTAAGTTTTCAATTTCTTGCTCTCCCTCTTCTCCTTCTGGTGCCTCCATGATTCAGTGGCTGGAATGTTTAAAGTTGTCCCAGAGGTTCCTAAGCCTCTCATCTTTTTGAATTTGGTTTCTTCATTCTGTTCTAGTTGAATATTTCTTCTTTCTGTTCCAATAGTTGATTCGACTCCTGATTTCCTTCCCTTTGCTGATGGTTCCCTGTATATTTTCCTTTATTTCACTTAGCATAGCCTTCATTTCTTCCTTTATTTTGCAACCACACTCAATTCTGTGAGCATCCTGACTACCAGTGTTTTGAACTCTGCATCTGATAGGTTGGCTATCTTGTCACCTCTTTTTCTGGAGTTTTGATTCGTCCTTTCATTTGGGCAATATCTTTGTCTCAGCATACCTGTTGCACTGTAAGGGGCAGAGTCATAGGTATTTGCCAGAGCAGGTCAACCTGCTTCACCTGTTTGTGGCTCTGTGTGGTGGGAAGTGTCAGAGGGAAAAATGCTGCTTGCTCATCTCTATCCCCACTTTCAGTTACCTCCTGTTACCCTTATGCTATTTGGATAGCCCACAAATTGGGCCCTTATGCTGGTTCCTGGGTGGGTGGGCTTGTGTACATTTTAGGACCCCATGGGTCCCTCCAATGGACTCTCCTGTGAGACTGGGAGTTTCTCCTGCCACTGCAACCCCCACATATTTTTACAGCCAGAGGTTTCAAGGCTTTTAGTTTTCCATACTGGAACCCTGGGTTGTGCGGTCTCACTCCCCAGTTGTTCCTCTTGGTTTGTCTGCACTCAAATGTGGGACTGTCCAGTCCACCTGCTCCCAGCTTGCCACGCATCCTTTCCACCCCTCCTGCCCATCTCCACACCTTCTACCAGTCTGGATGAATGTTTATCTCCTTGGTTGTCAGAATTCCATACAGTTTGATGTTCTGGCTGGTTTTTGTTTTTAAATTGTTGTCCTTTTTGTTGTGCAAGTAGGCAAAAGCATTTCCACCTACACCTCCCTCTTGGTCAAAGTCCAGTTTTAGATGATTTAAAATTTATGTCCAATTTAATAGAAAACTGAAAGGTTTTTTCCCCTCTTCCTTATATAGTTCTTAATTATGCCCTAAAGCCTTCTAAGAGTTTCCAAATAGCAACCATCAGGCTGACAGTTCACAGATCCTTTTACTGTATTAACAACTGGACTGATAACTGCAATGAAAGAATTAACAAATTCCCAAGGAGTTACTTCAAGGACTTTTAAGACACAATGTGAAGCATATATATTTTCATATGGTGAAATATGGCTTTAATATACAGAACAAAATTTTTAATTTGTGAATAAAATGTGGTCAACATATAAGTCTACACTGAATATATGTGGAAAAGATATTTAATTGTAAAATAGAAAAGTAGGCCAGAATACAGTTTTAAGGGTAATTGCTTCTTTTACAGTACAGGTAATCTAGAAGGGCCTTAGGGTTAAACATTTTCATAAAGCAATAAAACAGTAATGCAAGAAATTAAGCAAGAAAAATGGTTTGAAGTTACATTTTACAAAAATGAATGAATAGTATGTCAGAGTTTAATGTTCATACATTGTGGAACTCAACAATATTGTGATGAGAGCAAGTCACGGAACGAAGGGCTTTTAGAGGAAAAGTAAAAGTTATGGTAGACCTATCTATAGCATCACTATAGTATAAAAAGTTCTTGTTCTACATACAAAATCATTTTTTTCCATAAGAATAATTTCTTGGAGAAGGGAGGGGAATGAATCCATGAAATATTTCAGAAACCCATATGCTCTGAGTTTTCCAAAAACATTATCTTAAAATGTACTGCCTTAAAGTGCTTTCACGTGGAAATCATGATGGAAGGCACAGAATACAGTTTCACGTCCCCACTATGAAATTTTCAAAAAAGCATAGATTTTTGTAGTTTGCTAATTCAAGTTATCTTGTAAGCTGCTCCTTCCAAGAACACTATCATTTCAATAAAACCAGCTGCTAGCTTACTTAGTTAAGATGACCCTACAGAATAAAAGGGTTTTCCCCCTAGTAACTTTTGTCATCTTTGTGGGAAAAAATACCTATGCAAGTGATGCAATCTGAAATTATAAAACATGCAGAATATGTACAAACACAAAGTTTTAAAAATATTTGCTTCATATACATGTAAATCTACTTGGGTATAGCTGAAGTTGAACAAATATAAAAATTTATTTTCTAAAAAATGTTTTCAGAGAATCTGAGACAACTTAAAGCTGTACAAAGATTTCCTGGGAGAAATCTTCTCTTCGTATAGAAGTTTATAACTACAGGAGTAATTCCAGCATCAGTCCACCACATAATTATTACACAACATTTGGTCTAATCAACACCGATCACCCTTAAAACTGTTCTGTTTCTGAGAAATTAAGGTTCATACTAAAATCAAAAAGAATTCACAAAAACAGTGGCTTATTATTTTTGGATTTCTTCAACAATCTTTACCAACTCATTTAGAACTGTAAAAAAAGGAAAAACAAAAACTATTTACAGAATTCAGTTTTAAATACATTTGACAACTTCTAGTTTTATGTTACAAGAATTCAGACCGCATGGCTTAAGTCCAATGACCAATCTGTAGTCTCTTCTATTATCCTGTCTTCCCATGACTGCACCTTATTGTGTACAGTTCAAGATTGTATTCTCTCTTGACCAAAAGTAAACTCAAACCATACGTTCATTTCAACTAAACTGCTTCTTTATTAGTTTGAAGACGAGTCATAGCTTCTAATTTCTGTCTGTAGGCCTCTGCTTCCTGTTCTTTCTTTAGAAGCTGCTGTCGATACTTTTGGGCCTCTCGATTTGCTTCATCCAGCTGTTTCTGAAGAGCTTCTCTCTCCTAATTTAAAACAAAAAGCTGTTTTCAATTTTTGCACAAATACATTAACATCTACAAGCATGCATCCTTTAACGAGAAATTCGTAGTAGCTAAAAGTAGTCCTTTATTGATATTTCCTAGACATCTTGCCTTTTCAACCAATTCACTAATTAAAGCACCCAATTTCTGTGCTCCACACTGTGAGACACAGATTACAGTTTTTGATCCCCAGGGAAACATTTCATAATTAGAAATAAGACTAACACGATAAATGCAAATTGGATACCTTGTACTTTTATATGTACTACAAAAACTAGTGAAGAACTTTATGAAGGAAATATATATAATCATACCTCTTCATATATTTATCTGCATTTTTTCTGAAGGTAACACTTATAAGCAATATTTATTGAGCACACATTATATGACAAAACAAGGTAATTTCCAATGACAAGCCTCTGAGACAGATATTATGCCCATTATACAGATGAGGAAAACAATGCTCAGAAATGATGTACTTTCTCATGGTTAACAGTAAGAAAATCAGATTTATGACATGCCAACATTACTGCTTTTAAAACTATCTTTCTCTGTGATAGCAAGCAAGATTCCTCATCTCTAAAATGACAAGTGGTGGTCTAACTAGTGTTTCCTAAATTATACCATTTTACAAATCAATAAAATACTAATTTCTATATTGTGACTTGTTAAATTACACAGGCATAAATAAATTATTAAATTCCTCAATAAATTGAGAGCTGACTCAAATCTGGTCCTCCTCCTCAGTCTGCCTCCATTCAGTTGCCTAAGGAAAAACATTTTAAAGATTCTTTTCCCACACCTCTGGTAAGCATATGGACAAAAGCTCAATCTGCACATGCCCAAGCTCAAGTTACAGAGGCCCAGCACCAATTAGTGAGGTGGGGACTGAGGTTAGACTATTAATCACAAGAAAGGCCAGCCTCACACTGGACAGGACACTTGACCAGAGATCAGCATCTTGCCAGGGAAGAGGACAATCTGAAAGTCTCTTCACTGCCCCCAATGACCCTTGTCCACTGTGAACACCAAAAATTCCCTCTTCTTCATTATTCACATGGTCCACAAGGGGAAGCGTATCTAATACTCCTGCCTTCCTGTAATCCCATTCCCTGGGAATAAAGCTACATTGAATATTTATTTTTTCCAAGGGTTTATCAAATGTGGGAGTGAATGATTATGTAAGTCGTCTTCAAATCTTCCAATTACACAAAATGTACAAGAAGAAAAGTGTGTCTTTCATCTGCAATTTCAGAAATGCCGAAGCCCTACCCTCTTACATTTTCCTTACTCACTTCTTACCCTTATTCTCCGGGCAAGGTGAAAGAGTAGGAACAAATCAGAAAAGACACCCAAAAGAAGAACCTCATGGAAGCATCCAACGCTAGTCCCCCGGCAGTGAACTACGGAGGACTTTGAGCACACCAATGGGAAGGGTGGGAGGCGGGCGCTGCTTCCCAGGAGCTAGACTCCCACCACTAGCAAGAGCGCCTACAGCCATTCCTCAGTGTTTCAAAATTTCATGTGTTAAGAACAAAGACCCTTGAGAACAGGCTGACAGTGACCAGAGGGGAAGGAGAGGGGATAATGAGGGGAAAGGGTGAAGGGTTTGCAGGAACAATGATAAAGGACAAATGGACAATAAGAAAGGGGGGGATGGAAACAGGGGAGGGAGATGGGGAAGACTGGGGTGGTGGGGAGGGGTAGAGAGAAAAGGCAGAAAACTGTACTTGAACAACAATAAAAATGTTAAAGAAAAAAAGAAGAACTGAGATCCTTTGGGAGGCAAAGTTTTGAGTATGGAATAAAAAAAAAATTGCCCTGATTTGATAGGAAATATTGGAATAGATAATCTTCAGGTATCTTCTAGTATTAGCTATTTACCAACATTTAGAGAGAGCAAGGGATTCACAATTGTTTCAAAAGGTGAGAGCAAACTGAGTAAGGTAAATAAATAGTCTACAGTGAAGACAGTTTAGTCCTATTTTCTCTACTGTGTATTTTTATTGCAATTAGTAGAATATATCTTAATATAAATTAAAAAGTATAGTTAACATTATTAAAGTCTGTGTTCTCATTTTTTATTTCTCAGATACACAGGTATTGGGGGAATCTTTTTGGCATCTCACTTTTCGAACCAAATAAAAACATCTAAACAGTGGGAAATATTACTTATTTTACTCAAAAGATCCTGTTTCCAAATTTATTTGTCAAATATTTACTGAACATATGTTACATGCAAGACACTTGCTTAATGCAAACAGTGACATTGTTGTTTCAACAGACGGACAGTGCAGCAGACTGACATTTGAGATCTGTCTTTACCGGTAAAAGGTAATAATACCAACCAGACGGCTTTGACCTTTCACACTGAAAACACAATAAAATTCTGACATTTTTAAATAGACATACTTTAGCTACTAATATGTAATACTAAAGTATTTTTCCTTTAACAGTCTAACATTGAAGGATTCCAAGAAAATAAATTCTGGTCAGATGTGGTAGCAATAGAAGCCAATCGATCTGGCAGCCGCAGACACACACACTGAGAAACCCAAACGTGTTATACTCTGTATAACGAGTTCTTTTTTACTTCCTTCAAAGCAGAGTTTCTCCATCTCAGCGCTGATATTTCTGAGCAGATAATTCCTTAGTGTGGGGCCAGTCTTGTGCATCATTGTAGGATGTTTAGCAGCATCCCTGGCCTCTACCCAAACGTCAGTGGCATGCCCCTAGTCGCAATAACCCAAAATGTTCCCAGACGCTGCCAAATGTCCCGTAGGGTAAAATTACCCCAGCTGAGAACCACTACCTTAGAGACTTTTCAGGTGAATGACCAAACTGTCACTTAAGAGAGAAGTATAAAAATCTGCCCCCAAGAAAATAAATTCAAAAGAACCACTTCATGTATTATAAGGAAATAATAACCCGGTTTGATGGAAACACCAGAGGTCTCTTCATTCTATAAGCCCAGCCCATCTCCACCGTCTAACTCGCTGTATGCTTCCAGATCTCGCTGTAATAGCCCTAAGAGATCGTGCAACTGTGCCTTAAATTTCTGCTGGAGACTAGGATTTCCATCACCAGAAAACTCCAATTACTAAAAACAAACCAAACTGAAACCACTGCTCTTCGTACCAAGTTAAAACTCTATCCCCTAAGTTCCATCGCCTTGGTTCTAGTGAATTCACACACCTCCGCTCACACTCTACTGTTATTTGCGATCCTTCTCTCTGGTTTCTGAAACACTGTAAGAGAGGAATCAGGTGGAACTTTAGGGAAAACAGCAACTCTCACGTTAGATAAATAAAGGTACAGGATGCACATTCAATGTTTTAAAAATGCAACTGATTAAATTTAGCAAGTTGATGGTTTAATAAACATTCCAGTAATTTTAAAATGTTTCATTGAACGGGTAAAGCAAAGTACACAACAAAATATTTTCCACCCTATATGCCAGAAATAAAGATCATATGGCGTATCAGGAAAAAGATATTTTAAAAATGACTAAATAAGTATATAATACTTTCCAATGGATCAAACTGTCAGTTTGTAAGATCTTCAATGCACTGCCCTGGCCAGGTGGCTCGGTTAGTTAGAGCATCGTCCTGATAGCCTAGTGAAGGCTGCGGCTCGATCCCCAGTCAGGGCACACAACAGTAAACCAAGGGGCGCATGACTGGTGGAGCAAAGTCTCTCTCTCTCTCTCTCTCTCTCTCAAATCAACACAAAATTTTTTTTGAAAGAACTTCAATGTACTAAATATCACCCTGAAAACAACAAAACAATTCACCCTTAATAAAGTGATAATTTTACCAAATATTGTGGTCATACCATGAATCAGACCATCTTTTCCACTAAAAAATTCTTTGTGATTGTGGCCAAAGATATACCAGTCTTACATTTAAATGAATTTGGGCAAGGATAATTCCTAATTGTCCTCAGTCAGAATTATGTTGCTTTTTAGTGACTTTAAAAAAATAATCCTGTCTGGGTAAGAGTGAGGGTAGGTAGATACACTTCGCTTCCTCACACCAAAAGAAGGACAACAACCAATTTAAAAATAAAAGACAACCAGAACTGCCAGAAAAATCAAACTGTCTGGAAGTCTGACAACCAAGGAGTTAAGGAAGAAACATTCATCCAGACTGGTACCAGGGGCGGAGATGGAAAGCCAGGGCAGTGAGGAAGCAGGACAAGGCGGCAGCTAGCAGAGCAGGCAGGCAAAGCAGTAGCTGGCTGACCTGGAGGTCCCACATTCGCGTGAGAGGAACAACTGGGAGACGACAGACTGCACAACCCGGGTTCCAGCACAGGAAACTAAAGCCTCAGAACCTCTAGCTATAAAAACCCATGGGGATTGTGATGGTGGGAGAAACTCCTAGTCTCACAGGAGAGTCTGTTGGAGAGGCCCATGGCATCCTAGAACATACACAGGCTCAGTCACCCAGGAATCAGCACCAGAAGGGCACAATCCACTTGTGGGGATTGAAAGAAGTGACAAGGGGGGCAAGAGACACTCTTCCCTCTCTGACCTTCCCCCACACACAGTACCACAACACAGCAAAGAGGGGTGCCCCACCCTGGTGAATACCTAAGGCTCTGCCCCTTATAACATAACAGGTGCACTGAGACAAAGATATGGCCCAAATGTAAGAACCATCGAGACTCCACAAAAAGAACTAAGCAACAAGGAGATAGCCAACCAACCAGATGCAGAGTTCAAAACACTGGTAATCAGGATGCTCACAGAAATGGTTGAGTATGGTTGGAAAATAAAGGAAGAAGTGAAAGCTATGCTAAGTGAAGTAAAGGAAAATATACAAGGAACCAACAGTGATGGGAAGGAAACCGGGACTCAAATCAATGAGTGAAACAGAAAGAAAAAATAAACATTCAACTGGAACAGAATGGAGAAACAAGAATTCAAAAAAATGAGGAGAGGCTTAGGAACCTCTGGGACAACTTTAAACATTCCAACAACTGAATTGTAGGGGTACCAGAAGGAGAATAGGGAGAGCATGAAATTGAAAACTTACTTGAAAAAATAATGAAAGAAAACTTCCCTAATTTGGCGAAGGAATTACATATACAAGTCCAGGAAGCTCAGAGTCCCAAACGAGATGGACCCAAGGAGAAATACACCAAGACACATCATAATTAAATCACCCAAGATTAAAAATAAGGAGACAATCTTAAAAGCATCAAGAGAAAAGGAGACAGTTACTTACAATGGTCTACATAAGACCATCAGCTGATTTCTCAAAAGAAACCTTGCAGGCAAGAAAGGGCTGGATGTATTCCAAGTCATGAAAGGTAAGGACCTACATCCAGATTACTCTATCCAGCAAAGCTATTTATAATGGAAGGGCAGATACAGTGCTTCCCGGATAAGGTCAAGTTAAATGAGTTCATCATCACCAAGCCCTTATTACATGAAACATTAAATAGACTTATCTAAGAAAAAGAAGAAGATCAAAACTAGGAACAATAAAATAACAAACCGATAACTATCAACTGAACCTGAAAAACCTAAACAAAACAAAATCAAACTAAGCAAACAACTAGAAGAGGAAGAGAATCACAGAAATGGAGATCACATGGAGGGTTATCAGTGGGGAGGAGGAAGAACTGGAGAAAGGTACAGGAAATAAGCAGCATAATGGGTAGGTAAAAATAGACAGGGGGATGTTGAGAATAGTGTAGGAAATGGAGAAGCTAAAGGACTTACATGTATGACCCATGGATGTGAAATAAAGTGGAGAGGGATGCTAAGGGAGAAGGGTACAGGGTGGAGGGAGATAAAGGGGAGGAAAAAAATGGGATAACTGTGACAGCACAATCAATCAAATATACTTAAAAAATCCTCCAAATCCACCCTTTTCTATAACAAGAACCTTAAATTTCACTAACATCTACTGTTCACATATACCAGATATCATGAATTTGTGTATAATGAGTATGTAATTTTTCAGTTCTCATAAAAACTCCAAAATAACTTTTAAAATATCTTTATTTTCATTTGATATAAGCTTATACCAAATTTGTGGGACATAATTTCATTTACAGTCATGTGAGAAAAAAAACCTGTGAGGTAACTACAGTTTGGTTGTACTTACATGCTGATTTACATTTATAACTTAGTTTGGGAGAGGGAAAATAATTGAATCTTATCAACAGCTAATCTTAGTTTAATTTCCGTAAAGCACTTAAATAAGTAAAAAAGTAGTTATCTAGAGCTTTATAATAACCCGTTGACAAAAATCCTTCAGCCCTAATGGGCATTTGCTTTTTTCTTTTGAAAGAAAAAAAACTTTTAGTCAATACATAGTGACACTTCCTTTAGTGATTTGTGAGAATGATGTGTGTAAATTTTATGGAAAATGAAAGATGGAGTGCAAGAACCAAAGACATCCCAACGTTACTAGGATGGCAGACTTCGTGACAAACAAATTCTTCACTCACTCATTCATTCATTCAATATTTATTTATTGAGGGCTTGCTATATGTATAAGGCAAAATTAAACAAAATAATACTATGTAGTTTCTGTATCAAAACACTGACAGTAATAAATATAAAAGACAAAAAATATATAGAAAAGCAAATTGAATTTATTTTGGATGACTGCAGCAAAACACACCGGGTAAAAGACTCCTTACTTCTATTTCTGCAGATTCCACCCGGTTTTCAATTATTTCGATACATTGTCTCTTAGCTGGTGGTTCTTCACTTATAACAGTTTCTTCAGCAATGTCCGTTGCTGGTACTGTTAGTACTAAAATGAGAAAATGTGTACATTACTTCATTTTCTGAAAGGTTTAGTAGAAATAAAACTAATCAACATTGTTGATGCAACTCATCTAAAATATATCCCAAAACAATAATTTCAAAACATTGATTTGTTTTTTGAGGATGTCCATATTTGTTTTCACCTTCTTGCTTTTTTACTACCAACTAGTCATTGTTTAAGTACCTACTTATTTTAAAAAATTTGTATCTAATAAATTCATTCACATGGCAAAAAATCAAAACAATGTTTAACAACCAAATTTTGAGAAGTCTCATTCCACTCCTGCTAACACAGGTGATCACTTTTATTAATTTCTTGTGTAGTTCTCTTGTTAAGCTATGTAAAAACGAACATGAATGTACATCCTCACTTTCCTTACACAAAAGGTAGCATACATATAAAACATACATTCAAATGATACATCATTTGCAATTGTTTTTTTCACTCCATGTATCTAAGTTATCTTTCGTCAGTACATGGACAGCTTTCTTTTATTTGGCTTTTCATGTGTGGATGCACCATTATGAATGTTGTCCGTTTATAAATTTAGCTTGTTTCTCTACTGGGTTGTTGACTTTGTCTCAATTTTTAGTATCTGTTTAAATAAAATTAAATTATACAGAGAGAAGCTGTCTGTGCTTTACATAGCAGTTAGGACCATAAAAATGACTGCAAACTGAAAGCATGCAAAAACACCTTAATAAACAACGGGGAAAATTACAATTGTTCCGTAGCCTTTAACGTTTTTTGTCGAAACAGTAAAAACTAATTTATAAATGTCAACATAAATGAAAAAAGTAAAACTAATATTTAGTACAATGTAATTTAAAACATTAGAAATAATGAGAATAAAAATGTTTCATTTCTTTTAACTCATATTATAATATTACACTTATAACTTAAGAATATGAGAACCCTGTACCTGTTTCACTGAACTGTCCACAGAGTGTATATGTTCATATGTCAATCACACAGTTTTAAATTATGGAGTCTTTAAAAGTTTACTTTAATATTCAGAAGGTTCCTCTTACTGCTCTTCCCTTCCAGAGTTTTCTTTCCTTTTCTTCCTTCCTCCCCATCAATATAAACTTAGAATCTGTTTGGCTACTTCTAGAAAAAGGCCTACTGATCTTTGTTATGGCTGAATTGCGTCCTCTCATAGTTCGAATGTTTAAGTCCTTCCCTGAATATTTCAGAACGTGACTATGTTTGGAGACGGAACTTTAAAGAGATGACTAGCATGATGGAGCCATTCAGGTATGCCCTAATCCAATAGGACTGGTGTTCTTATATATGAAGAGATGTTGAGGACACAGATGAGAGACAACCATGTGAGGACCCAGCAAGAAGGCAGCCATCTGCAAGCCAGAGAGGTCCCAGAAAAAACCCAAACTGCCAACACCTTGATCTTGAGTTTCAAACCTCCAGCATTGTGAGAAGATAAAGTTCTGTTGCTCAGGTCACTCAGTCGGAGGTACTTTGTTCTGACAATCTTAGCAAATTAACACCGTCTTTTTACAACATCACATTACACTTATAAATTAACTCAGGAAGAACTGAGAGCTTCATGATAGTGAGTCTCCCCATCAAAAACTGAGTTTCTTTCCATTTGTTCATCAGTGAGGTTCATCTGTATAAATGTCAGGTTTTAGAAACAATGTTATATCTGCCTGATACGAATACTTTGAAAGTTTTCTTCTTTTCTGTATAATTCTAATTAGTTCTTCAAAGCTTTACCAAGGAAGGATTGCGGCCTGATCCAAATTTTAGACCAGCTATCAGCAGATGATTTCTGCACAGCAGGGGAAAGGCCCCTCAGGCCTCCCAAGGCAGGGTTTCCGCCTCTGCTGCTGCAGTGACAAAACCTTTCCTACAGCGCCGCACCTCCTCTACCACTAAACCAAACGCGCTTTGGGAGCACTTCCGCCTCCAGCCCTTCCTTTCCATAATTCCTTCACCGGCCATGAAGACCCACAGTCTCTACTATCCTAGTCATTTTCTACAAGGTTATGTGTGCGTAACCTTTTATTTTTAGGGACTGGATGCACGGTGATGCTTACTCAGCTAGGAACTTTCTGCACTTTCTGCTTCCTCCACTACTGATGCCCTACATTCTACATCTCAGCCCTGTCTGCCACACTTCCTATTCAGTCTGGGCCCTGTCTTGCTGGGAATGCATATTAATTGCTGATTTCTGAGCCCAGCCCTTTTCTTGATGTACCGTTGTGGGTTTTTTGACAGTTCTCTTGCCCTGACTGTAATAGTCTTAGATGTCTTGGGCAGCACTTAAAATATGAAATTTTGTGGTTTTCTCAGCTTTTTAGATTTGCTGAAAATGTAGTTGGGTTTGTTTCATTCATCATATTGCTCTCCGTGGTTTCCAAGAAGGGAAAATTATCAACAAGCTGCTAAAAGTTGCCACCACATTCCTATTACAAGTCTTAAACCCAACTTTTAAAAAGTAGCCTTTTCTGGGAGGTGGGGAGGGTGGGGGGCGGCGGCTGGGATGGGAGTAAAAGGCAGAAAACTGTACGTGAATAACTAAAATAAGTAGCTTTTTCTTACATGGTATTTTAAAAAGCTCACATGATATCTGAATTGTATTAAATGGCCTAGGAAATTACTGACCAACGCTGACTATGCATTATTTATTTAAGCTCATTTTCCAACCAAATGTTTTGGGGCTAGTTCTTCTTTCCACCTGGTATATACTCAGGAAAAAAACAAGCTAATTTTAATTACATTTGTTGCAAAGGGCTACAAAAATATAATTTAAGGCAAAAATAAATGCTCTGAAAAACACGTCATAATATCCTACAAATTGAGAATAAACACAAATTTCATGTAAGTGCCTATGACCAACCTTGTTGTCCATCTGGCATGGTCACAATGATGGGCTGACCAATCCCGCTGGTTGGAATGGAGTGCAAATTCCCAAGCTGAATCCCGTCTGTGACTATTGTGATGACTTGCTGACCTCCTGAACTAACTACTTGCTGAATCGCACCATCCACAGACTCTGCAGTAACTACTTCCTCTGTAGCCACTACTGGAAAAAAATATATATGTGAAAATCAGTGAGTATATATAAAGTACAAACAGAAGTTTCTCTATTGCTTTAGTACCTTTGCTTTCCCTGTTTCTTTCCTTCACAGAAAAGCTTTTACATGGTTTTAAACTTTACTGTCCAGCGGTGCTGTACATACCCGTGTAAACATTACCGCCTACAAGTCCCACAATTTACAGTAAGTGAGTTCCAACCATTCACGCATGTGCGTGTTTAAATAAACAATTTCTCTTAGCTATATGAGGTACAAAATTTATAAGATCTCCTAAGGTCACAAATATTACAAAGTTTATATCTGCTTAAATAAAATTCCAGTCCTAAAGATAATTTTATATGTGATTATACTGCATTTACATTTACATATGAGTTGATAAACATTTCTATATCCAATGAAACATGAAAACTTGTATTTTTCAAGTAGCCAGAATAAACAGTATTCTCTTTTTGGATTATGTGAGCAGGATCACCTTGATAATAAATGGCATGCAGACCTAGTACTGTATAAATAATATAATATTTATACAATATATACTATAGTGTTATAGTAATATAATACAATGTACTATAAGATAATAATATGTAATATATTAACATTTATATTAGTAAAATGCAAAATTATGCTCTTAGTATTTTATGAGAGGCTCAGAGAGTATTCTAGCAACTGAAAACAGTCCCCCTAGAATTGTCTGGGTAAAGAAATAACGAGTTAACTCTGCCAAAATCTTTCCCTACAAGCAATCCTATGACCAACTACTGATCCCAAAAGACAGACACAGGAGCATGCATTCATCGCAGTTTTACTTAAAACAGTCAGAAACTTGAAACAAACCAGATATCCATCAAAAGTAGAATGAATAAATAAGCTGTGGTAGATGATACACTAGAATAGCACACTGCAATTTGTGTGACAGAACACAAAACACGAATCTGACAAAAAACTGGGCTGAGTGGTATATAAAGCAGGCACAAAAGACACACTGTGCACTTTCCACTCATGAACTGAACGGTGATTACACACACAGGAGCGATCACTGTGTAATGCGTAATCACAGTGCACGCTTGATAATCTGTACACTTTCCTGTATACACGTGACACTTCAATCAAACAGCATCAAAGGAAGGGCAGCAATCAATCCTAACACTGAATTTAAAAAATCCATTTATCTGTGGTAATACCTAATAAAAAAAAAGAGAAAGGGGGAAAGAAGAAAGCTCTTCTTGATAGAAGAATAATATCTATCTAACAAAATAAACATTATTGTAACCCCCCAAAATTGTCATTTATCATCCTACTGGATGTTAAAACCACTAGTGAAATCTTTTAAAGAAACAAGACATTTAAATGCTCTCAAGGTGTTACACTGAAAACTAATATTGGTGAGAAAGGGGGAAATGGGCCCCAAAAGACCTGGCAGTCCCCGCTCTCCCCAGCAGTCATTACAGGACAGCCTGACATTATGTGCCCTCTGATGGGACGCAAGGGGACATTACAAAATATCACCATGTTCTTCCTGGAAATGCTGGCTTGGATCTAATGATTAAGAAACACATGAATCCAGAATGTGGGTGACCCTGCAGACTGTTGGCCTGGCCTCTACAAAGATTTCCATGTCATGAAGGATAACGGAGGCAACAGGACTGTCCTAGACTAAGGGAGATGTAAGAAACACAATAACCAAATACAATGTGTGAACTCTGACTGGCTCCTGAATGAGAAAGCAGCATTTAAAGAACATATTAGGAACAACTGGGGAAACTTGAATTATGGACTATATGTCAGTAATGTTACTAAACTACTGTTGATGCTTTTAGGAAATAGAATGGAGAGGTGAGTACGTAAAAGGCTGTCCTAATTCTTGAGATACAGGCTGTTACAGTCATAGGATTACAGTTGAAAGAGTTCATCCTCCAACTTTCCTACAGGTTTGAAAACTGTCAACAAAAAAATGTTTTAATGTAATTAGTGCTGAAAAAAGAAATGACATAAAAACTATTTCTAAACGTGTTTTAATGTGTTATATGATGCAACTCTTTACCAAAAGTTTAATTAAAAAAAAAATCATTCTCTCCTCACATGCAACCATTCAGACACGCAGTTGCCCTGAAACATGCTAAGGTGCTACCAACTCCCAGCAGAACATCACGGACACCAATGACCACAGGATTTATTAATGCCTGAGAGAGGCCCTACATATATCAACTTTTTTTTTAAAGACAAGGTAAGTACCGGGACCCTAGTTTCCAAAGACACATTCGTGGCAACAGGCCTGGCTGCAACTATTACTGTTTTATTTGCTTATCATGGTCACAATACAAACTGCAGAAGATAGTACTTGAAATGCAAACCTTTCTGTTTTGAGTTCTCTCATTTTTGTTTGTCTTAAACTATAATTAGGCTTTATTACCATGCACTTAAGAAAATTTCAGGAAGATAATTATAAAGTAAAATGTAGGGCATAAAATTGTAATATACTCAATAGAACTACTAAGGTTTTTGAACACATGAACTATGGCTTTCATTTTTTGAAAAATATCCATATGAAAAAGAAGTGTTCACTCTGATTGAATGTTTTATTCATTCACTACAAGTAGTGAGTATTTTAAAGTATAATCCTATGTACTAAATTTCTGAGATCACACACAATCAAGGTACAACTCAAGAACTTTCATCTTTGCACTCCCTGCAATGACAGCCATTAAAATGATGGAGTCCTTGCCTTTCATCTAAAAGGCTTTCTTTTTAACTTGTGCTATGGTAAGGAGTTTAAGAAAAAATTATAGGAAACCAATTACATAAGAAGACAAAGTGCCCCCAAGAAACTCTAAGAACACCCAATAATCAGTCAACTGTTGAAACATGTAAGAATAAACAGAAAGCCTAAAAATTTTTTAAATGTTATTAAATATATATATATACACACACACACACACACATATGTATATAAAACAGTAAAATAAGACAGGGAAAAACTGTCTTTAAGATGTTCTAAAAGACTGAAAATTCTATATATAAATATTTCAACAATAAACTTTATTAAAAAAAATTTCAAAGGTATTATGCCTGCAATTGAAACTGAAAACAAAACAATCTTACGAAACTTATTCTATAAGGCCAATATGTTTTTATTGCTCTGTTTTAGGAACAGACATATAAGAACTATGTGCGAAGGAGACCTGACTCAAATTTCACTGTTAGGAGAAAGGAGGGAGACAGCCACCAGACACATTACACATCTGGATAGACAACCTTATTAACAAATAGCAGAAGGGTGGTCACAGACATCTATTTAATCAACAGATGTATACGTAGGCCACAAGGAAGAATTAGCCCAAGCGAAGCTAAATCAATACAGGACTACCAGCTAGAGCCATAGTGTTTTATAAGTTTATTTTAAAAGGACCAGACAGCCTCACTGCAGATATAAGGCCTATATCTAACCAATTATAACTTCTGATTCTCCATTTCAAAGAACTTGCAAATCTATTCATTTCGCATTATCTTTTTGGCAAATCCTAATCCATGTTATCATTATTTCTTCCCTGGCTCACTGCACTAGACTCCTAACTAAACTCCCTTCCAGAGGCTGACAAAGTCATCATTTAAAAAGTCCTGTATAGCCTTAACCTTCAACCAACATGAGTTACTCTCCCACTCACTGGGCTCAGCCTCTGGGGTTTCTTAGTCCTCTGAAATCACAAACTCTTTCCTGCCTCAAAAGCTCCATGTGTCCCTCTTCCTAAATTGTTTTCCCCCCAATTTCTGCTTCACAAATTCTAATCCAATCTATAAATGTCTCTCCCTCTGGGAAGAGCCTCTAATCCACCACACTAGGTTAAAACACTGTATTCTTTATGCACAGCACTAATCACCATTATTTAGCTGGGTGAATAACTGTTTATTATTTCGTTCTACCAAAAGACTACCAAGTTCCAGAACAGTTGGGATTGTACCTGACTGTTTGTCATTTTCTCTCTAGCACCTAGTGGACTACCCAGGACATAAGAGATGTTTAACAACAACAAAAAAAAAAACTGTTCAATGAATGACTAAATAACACTTTTTTTCATTGTAAATGAATACCTGTTTATAAACCGTAATTGGAAATTTTAGCACAAGAACAGTTTTGAGTTATTCCTTTAACACAAAACCTGATATATTCCCTTCATGAATTTTTATTATTTGTACATTTTTGTCATGTGTTTTAAAGCAGGAAAAAAGGTAGTAAGGTTGTGAGTTTCCTGGAGTTTTGATTTTGCAAATAGGAAATACCTTTAACAGAGTGACCTGTAAACTTTGGTAGAAAGATAGGATTGCTTCTGCTTTTTAATAGAGTACTACATGGTGATGGTTTCCTCTTGCAACACCCAACAGAAAACTTTTACTTTTCTGTTGTCTTCAGTTTAGAATAGCTTCCAAAATGGAAACCCGCCCATTCTTAGAGGACACCACGCCACTCCACTCACCCTGGGCCCCCAACTCCAGCTAAAAGTAATCTGTTTGTTCTGAACAACAACAGTAATTCTCTAAATAATTTCTTTACAAATTTGTTACGTAACAACTTTAAGACATTTTAACCCAGTCGTTGACTTTTCACATGTTTCCTTTTCATTTCTCTAACAAGGTTATTTGTTCCTAGTAACGGCAACTCTCCCTCCTCCTTTTCCCTGGCTTCAGTGTCCCTCCCCCATTCCTAGACTGGAATATGTGAAACTTTAAATTTGTTGACAATTCTTTGGAAAAATAGTAGCTGAGGACTGGCTCAGAAAGAGCTTCCTGATCATTCTATTTCTGATGTGGAGACATCTAAGGTCCAAACTGAAATCCTGTAAGGAAATAAAAACCTCCTTGGTGTATATAGTACCTGTAGGCATTTGTAAGTTTTGATGGCTCTGGAAAGAATACAGAAGAAATGGCGCGGAACAACAGTGAATCACAATTAGGTCAAAATTGTGTTTCTGCCAATGGTAGACTTAGAACGTAGCACAGAATACATGCTCAGGTACCTTTAAAAAAATAGGCTGGTCAAAAGTACAGAAATCAGCGGTCATAAATTTAATCCCTTCAGTTTCATGCACAAGAAAATATACTACGAGAACACTTCAAATGTTTCAGAAATACACGTGTTTTTTCCAAAATTAATGAAATGAAAGCATAAGGCGGGAGAAAAAAGTATACTTTAACAGAGCCTCTGCAAATCTTGCCAGTCAAAAGAAATGTTCAATTGTGCCTACACACATAGAATTTACACACTATTTTGAGATGCTAAATCTCTTAACTGGCTAGGTACCTACCACACCAAATCAAATAAAGCAAAAGAATCAAAATATTAAGGAAAAAAAAGAAGCCAAAACTAGACTGCAGATCAGACTACTAATATGGTACAAGAAGATGAAATATCAGTCAAAAATAAGGATAATTTCTAAAATTATCAAGTTTAACAATGTGAGCTTCCAGCAAATATAGTAGCTACTTAATTTAGAGGTACTAAAAGACACACATTCCCTTAGTTTAAGTAGGTAACTACACTCAGTAACCTGAATCAATTCACTTTTTAAAAGATTTTATTCATTTATCTTTAGAGGGGAAGGGAAGGAGAGAGGGAGAGAAATATCAATGTATGGTTGCCTCTGATGTGTCCCCTGCTGGGAACTGGCCTGCAACCCAGGCATGTGCCCTGACTGGGAATCGAACCGTGATCCTTTGGTTTGCAGGCCCAAGATCAATCCACTGAATCAATTCATTTTTTAATAAAGAAAAATAATATTAATTTTCTTTAAACCACAATTTTATCAATGCTCACTAATCAGCACCTATTAGATACACAATTTCATCGGAATTCCCATAATCTAAAACATTTTTCTAGTCCTGGTTGGTGTGGCTCAGTGGACTGAGCACCAGCCTGCAAACTGAAAGGTCTCCAGTTCAGTTCCCAGTCAGGGCACATGCCTGGGCTGCTGGTTATATCCTCAGCTGGGGGTGTGCGAGAGGCAACTGATTCATGTATCTCTCGCAGCACATTAATGTTTCTCTCCTTTTCTTTCTCTCCCCCCCTCTAAAACTAAATAAAATTTAAAAAATAAAATTAAAAAAATGAATTTTTAAAAAACAAAGTTGTAGCCTCCCATAAAAATAAGTAACAGCATTCTGATGTATGTATCACCTTCATATCAATTTGCTCTTTGTGAGTCAGTCCCTCAGAATACACTAATGAAATACTTCTGAAACTTCAAAGCTGAAAATAAAACCTCGGTCAAAGGTCAATGACAGCATCTGAATCCAGATCACTGTTGTGAGAACAAAATGAGGTGACGCATATAAAGCACTTGGCACAGCAACCAGCACACAGCAAGAACCCGATAAATATTAATCATTATTTTTCTATACTGCCTTATGCCAAATTAAATTTATAGCTAATATAAATCACTTTATCATCTTTTTATGGCTTGGCCTAGAGCCAGGTAAAGAAAATGATTATTTAATACAACTATGCACAGTAGCATAGGCCTATCATGTCCAGAAACTAAAATATGTAATTTCCAACAAAACCAGTCATTTATTAAAAATGAACATTAGCAATAAGCTCTTCAGAGTATATTGAGATTTATCAAATTACTTTTCTATACTTCTCTTAAATAGATAAAGAATCATGAAAAAACTATGCATGGAGACTTAAAAATGTAAATAAGTTAAACACTTGGAAAAATAAAGGTTTATGTGGAAAGAATAAAACTGAAATTATTTACATAAAACGCAATTCAATGAGATAATCTAATCATTAAGCATTAATAACTTGCAGTTACATTTGCCTGTAATATCAAGAAAAAACAGTAATATCATTTGGTGTCACAATGAAAGCATTATAATAGACTGGTATACTTTATGAAGTTCCCATGAGACTAACATTATGGTAATGGGAAAAAATACAATAAAGATTAAATCAAAAAAATAAAATGGGACTAGGTCAAACACAGCAAAACAAAAAATAGATTTGTTTTCTATGTGAAAGATGGCCCTAATGTGATCATGAAAGTGCTATTGAAGGCCATAGTTCCAGAGTGAGGTAGGTGGTACCCTAGACTATTGCAAGTACCTTCCCTCTCTTTGTAGACCACGTCAATCAGCCAGCCAGCCTCCATTTCAAATGCCATTATCTGCTGCTACATTTTGGCTATTTGGTATCCAGAAGATGTGCTTAGTGTACTACTTAGCTGGTAAAAGTAAAGAATGTGAGCAGTACCAATTAGTATACTGATAGTTCTTATATTTTCGTCTTCAATAATTTAAAAAGGGCAAAAGAAGACTCCGGGACATGGACAACAGTGGGGTAATTGCAGAGGAGAGGGATATAAGGGACTAAATGGTAATGGGAAAAATACAATAAAAAAATTTTAAATAAAAATTAAAAAATAATAAGGACAAAGGAGCAGAACATTTATTTCAACAGACTGTTTCAACAAACACAACTCAGAAGTAACAGTCAGAACAGTGATATAAGGCAAAACGATAATTACGCAAATATTTATTTCTACCACAAACTAATCTATAAACATTCTAGAAGAGATCAGTCCACTGATCACCACAAAGTAAACTGCACAGAGGAGACAGTATATTATAGCAATCACAGACACACAACTTGGGAATTAGATGCTGAGCACCTCTTTTTACCTCTGAATAGCTATGGTACTTTGGGCAAAATTATTTAACCTTCACAATCCTCAGTTTCATCATCTATAAAATGGGAGCACTACTTTATTTCCCATATCTTAAGATGTCCTTGGAAAAAATATATATAAATATTGCTAAAATGAGGATGACTCTGGCAACTGTTGTTAAAAGAAACTGGAGAGACAAGAGGCAGATAAATAATTTGTCTGAGCACAGCAAATTTATCTGATTATGCACCTTGGCTGAGGTGTTCACACTAGTCGCAATGTACTCAACTGAACTTGAACTCAAGTTCTTAAAGTATCTTCAAAAAGATTCTACTATGATATACAGCATTGAAATGAAAAATCACTGTGCTCATAGAACACTGTAAGTCACATGCAATAAAAGTCTAGTGAAATTACTAATTCTCTCAGACTAGACCACACATAACATTTTTAAAGATAGAAGTTAGAGAAGTTGGTATGACCAACTCAGAGAGCCCAAGATCTAAATGTCAAACCTTCCAGCTGACTTTCAATTTTCAGATATATACTTTAAATAAAGACAAAAAATGTACAAGTTTAACCGAATAGAAACCAACAATGGAGTTAATTTTCTTTGATACGTTTATGTAATTCCAAAGATGCCAAAGCGATCTAGGAATAGGCTATAAAAGCAGCAGGTCAATATGATGCACATACCTGCTAACAGCCAAGTGTGATTCAGAAGAACATGAAGACATAAAGGCTTAGTTTCAAGTACTGACTATCATGCTAAAGAAGCTGGAGAGTGGATGTTTATTATCACTAGTTTGTAGAAAAAGAGAGCGAGAGAAAGACAAAGAAAAGAGAGAGAGATAGGTTTTCTCCCCTGAAAAAATGCATCTTTCAGTCAACAGCTCCTTAAAGAATCAAATCCAGTAATGTCTACCTTCAAGCTTTTGGGGCAGGATTACATGAGATCATTAGGTAAAGAATTTACCACAGTGCACAGCACACACAGACAGCATTCAATGAACTGTTGTTGTTCATGTTGTTATTATTGTTGATCATACTTCAGGAAGAAACTAGTTTAAATAATGAATGACATCAAACTATTTTTAATTTTATAAGCATTAGTCCAAACAATGGTTTAAACTATAGTAATAAAAATAATTTTGTGGATTTTTTAACTCCCCAATTAAAAAAACATTTTGCTGACATAATAATAGCAGCAAACACTATTTTGGTTAAGTATTAAAGGAAACTTTACCTAAACCAGCTATTAATACTGTTTGTCATCCTCAATAGTGGTTTTGATATGCTATTTCCTAGTTCTGTCAGTTGTTAAGATTTTATGTCATTCTAACAGGATTGACAAAAATAAAAGTTGTACAAGACAACAAATTCCTATATTGTATATTTATCTACGTACTTTATACAAAAAGTCACAGACTAGTAAAACAAAGGCCCAATTGGGTACACAGACATGTTTTCTGTGAACCACACAGATCTGTTTTTTAATTTTAATTAGATTTTAATTAACTGGCGAGATTTAATATTCTTTGAAAATCCAGGTTTTCAGCTTCTCATGAGAAAGCAGAATCTGGTAACAATGAGCATACGATTCCACAGTTAGAGGTGAGCAGCAGATGCCCCCTGCCCTGTCACATTCTCCCCAGAAGGCCATCATCTCAGCCCTGCCTGCCGAGGCCTTTTCTATCACCTCCTGAATCTCCAACTTGTATAATGTATACACATGACTTGCTTTTCTAACCTGGAGTTTCTGAAGAATTGGACAAGGGAGCAGACGCTTCAGCTAAGGCAGCTAACGTAGCTAATACTGATGTAGAGGAGTTTCCAAACTGAACAGCAGACACACCCGTTTCATCTGTGAGAAAAGAGAAAACAGATTTGAATTTTTAAAAAGCTTAATCTGATATTCTTTTTTGCTATATTCAACTCTTAAGTGAAGCTTGGTAATATTAATTTTGTGAAAAACAAGCTTGGATAGCATTAGGTTTTAAAAGATAATATTGCAGTATGTTTTGCAATATCACCTTTCTTTAGATTTCTCATAAAATTTTCCTTTTTTGCCAATTATACCAAAGAAAACCAAGTAGCTGAAATATTCTAAACCTCATTCTTCAATTGTCCTTGCTTAAAAGGATGAGTACATACTAAAGCTTAAAATCCCAACAGCTACCCTATAGGCATCTCACTATCCGACGACTTGGATGCACTTTCTGAAGGTACCAGACCTGTTAGGTTGACCACCCCTCCAGGTCCGATGATGAACTGCGGCGTTGCGGCATGTATCGTCACAGTGTCAGGACTCTCTGGGTTTGTGTTGATTTGGTTCTGCATAGCAATCTGGGGGACAAACCACCACACTGTTTTCAGACTCATAACCAGAACATATAGCACAGGCTTTCAATGTATAAAAGAACATTCTGTAATTTAAGAAGAATCATAAATACAAATGGGTATCTTTATTTATGGTCTCCTGAGAGTAGAGTGGTAAACCAAACGTATGAATTTATATCCTAAGTTCCATTACATAAAGCAGCACAATCCCATGAGTGGAGAAATGGTCTGAAAGGCTCCTACAGCACAAAGCTGAAAGATATGCTGCTGTCCTGTGACTACAAAATAAATTATTGAAGAGGCAGTAAGTAAAGAAGATAATTTACATCAAAATGTTGTCTGGCTGAAGAAAGAGAAGTAATGTTGGCTATTAGAAAAACTTGCCCCAGAGCCATAAATAAAAGCATGCTCACAAACAGATTTTTCTGAGGATGGTGAAAAATATAAAAAACAAATCAGAATGCTAAAGACTACATCATTCACTCAGGGGACATTATTATGATTGCTAAAAAACATTTTTTAGTAAAAGTATAACAGACTTTCACACACCATATGGTATCCAAAGCCCTAGGGTATGAAATAAAAATAATTAATTGAATAAAATGTCTAGAAGGAGAATTCAGGAACTTAACACAGAAAATAATCACTTTATCTAATCTTCTGTTACATGCAAACACTATAATCTTACAATCAGGAAAATGAACAGTAATGAATAAAGAGAAAGTGAAAGAGGAAATGGCCTGTCCAAAATAACTGAGTCTAGCCCTGCCTGGTGTAGCTCAGTGGATTGAGCGTGGGCCTGTGAACCACACAATCGGGGTTCGATTCCCAGTCAGGGCACATGCCTAGGTTGCAGGCCAGTCCCCAGCAGGGGACTCATGAGAGGCAACCGTACATTGATGTTTCTCTCCTTCTCTTCCTCTCTAAAGATAAATAAAATATTTTTTAAAATAAATAAATAACTAAGTCTAAATGAAAGGTTACAAACTAAATAGTTCAAATCATCTACAAGACAGAGATCCTTTTGTTTATATTCTTAAAGTAAAAGTGAAAGTTACCTGTAATATCTCTGCTAAATCTTCATTCCCATTGTCTATTGAAATATCAAATGCAGTTTTACAAAATTTACTTTGCGTGTGTACATCAGCACCATATTTGATTAAAAGCTCCACCACCTCCTGATGATTGTGTTCTGTGGCCCAATGCAGAGCGGTCATCTTCAACATGTCCTTTGCATTGACATCAGCACCATGCTACAAAAACATTTCAAAATAAGATACCTCAAAAATATGAAATACTAAAAATTCCTGAAATGAAAACACTAGACATTACACTTCTAACAATTTGCTACTAACATGATGGACCATTTTTGTGTGTGTTGAATAATCTATATGCTACAGGATCACCACACATCTGTCACTTAACCAATGTTCTATCATGATGACTTTCCTAAACGCTTTCCTTCTAATTTCTTAGAAGTGCAGCAGTTACTTTTTCAGTCACCCAGCTATGAGCATGAAGGGCTAGGACAGATTAAGAAGTGAAGGAAAACTATGAGTGTACTTCCCAAATCCTTTTTAATTTTAGTTCCTTGTTTACACAAAAATATCTTTTGCTTTCAAAACCAGTGCAATATAAAGAATGTAAAGGGAGCCACCTAGAGGTACACTGTCCACTATGGTAGTCACTAGACACATGTGGCTAAGTGCTTGAAATACGGCTAGTCCAAACAGAGATGTGCTGTATGTGCAAAAATACACTGGAATGCAAAGACTTAACACCAAGACAAGGATGTGAAGTATCTCATTAATAATGTTCACATTAACTTCATGTAAAATAATAATATTTTTTATTACTGGGTTAAATAAAATATTATATTAAAATTACTTTTTACTGGGGTGGGCTGGGATGGGAGTAAAAGACCAAAAACTGTACTTGAACAACAATTAAAATAAAAAAATTAAAAAAAATAAACTAAAATAAAATTACTTTTTACTTCTTTTAAGATCACAAACAGAAAATGTACACGCAAATGTGATTTGCATCTGTGGCTTACACTATATTTCTTTTGGGGAGGTTGATCTGGAGTGGAAATTTTCAACCTTTTTCATCTTATGGCATAATTTAACTACCAAAATTCTGTTGCACACCAAAGAACATATATTTTTTGCCAATCTGACAAAAAACAATATAATTTTGATTGATTTACAAAAAATAATAATTACCTACCCTTTTTGCCCCAAAGTGACTTTTAAAAAAATCAGGTACCTATACTTGTATATAAGGATTTCTGGTACCAAGAACTGACCGATCAGATACAATCTTATGTGACATGACCAATAAGATACAACTCTATTATATAACCTATATACCTACAGTTCAAGACAGGACATTCACAACAGGTGGCTACTGTTGTGTCAGCTGTTGTCATTTTTAAATCTGACAGTCTAAAGTCAAGTATTGCATGCTTTAAAAATTTCTTGCTGAATACCAGTTGAAAATCACTGATCTAGAAGCTGGAATAAAAAAGATTATGAATACCTAAATCTACCATTCTCAGTTTCAGAATTTTCTCTTTGGCAATTAAATAATTAAAGAAAACTCCCCATTTGCATTATTTGTTTGTTAGTTAACTATCTAAGCCTAATAATCCTTTCCCATCAGCATGTTAACTGTGTTAAGTAAGACAAAACTATAGTCCCTCACCATGGCGGAGATTAAGGTCTAAGAAAATCAACTGTTTGACCTAACTAAGAATATACCAAGAACTGTTTTTATCCCAGCGAAGAAAAACTTTAAGGTAATTTCCATTTGATACCCTTACACACAAAAAATTTAATAACATGAGGGAATAAAAGTAGAAATTCATCCTTTGACCTCTTATAAAATCATTAAGCCTTTGAAGGTTTGCTTTCAAAAGCAAAGTATAAAAATAGAGAACACATACCTTAAGCAAAACCTCTACTATGCTGGCATGGCCCTCAGAAGCTGCCATGTGCAGTGGCGTTCGGTCCACTTTGGTCCTGGCATCCCTACTTACGCCAGCTCGAAGCAGCACTTCTGTGGTGGAGTAATGCCCGTACTGAGCTGCCAGGTGGAGTGGAGAAGTGCCCAGCTATAGCACAAGAAAAGAAATCCACATTCATAGTCACATTTGACACACTCCTATTACTACTTTCTGTTTTATATTTTCTATTTATATAGCAAACAAATTAATTTGTTTACACAGTAACTCAAAACTCAAAATAAATGATTTATGCTTTATGACATTCTCTTCATAGAGACCTTCGAGAATTTCCACACACTTCTCAGTAAAGAGGAAAAGCCAGTAATTCATTTAACTCAAATTTGCTTTCTTCATTATTTTTTAATCAGATAAAATAGCCTAAACAAAATTAATTTCATCAGGAATTAGAGATAATTAGGGCTTGAGAAAATTTTCAAAGTATGTATTGGAATCTTTTCCTCATACCAACCAAATAAAACCTCTTTTCATCTATGAAATTCATATCAAGTAAATGTAATAATTTACATTTTTACATTAAACTGTTTTGTAGGACTTAAAAATAGGTTAATTAAATACATCAGTGACATTTTTAAACAGGTTCACACAGTCACTTTTCCTGAGAAAAACCTGATCTGAGGTGTGCTTGCCAAAGGCCAGTCAGGACAGAAACAAAGCGGAGCCCAGTTCTCCGAAAATTGGTTCCATGTGGTCTAGCTGCCACATTAACACTAAATTCACAAAACACAGAGGAAGCACTAAAATGTGAGTGAAGGAAAGCCTTACCAGAGGCAAAACCTTTAATATGTGAAAATAAGAATTATATCACATGCATCTAGAGACACAGAAAGTCTAATCACCAAGGCACTCATGTCCAAAGAACCAACACAGTTCATTAGAACATGTAATTTGCTAAGACCTCTACCGTAATAATATCAACTAAAGCTTTTGTTTAAGCACTTTCCATGGCAAGTGCTATTCTAAGGCCTTTATACATGTTATCATTTAATCTCGTACACAGGTACTATTATTATCCTCATTTGGCAGTAAAAGAACTTAAGTAAAAGAGGTTACCAATTTGCCTGAAGTCACACCACAAGTAAGAGTCATAATACAAAGCGAGGCATGTGCTCTCAACATATGGCGAAAACAGAAGTCATTCACTCTGGGAATAATTATTTTATTATCAATAAAAGCCTTGTATTTTTCAGGGAAGATCAAAGAAGATTCTCTAACAGTCCTTTCTTTTCTCCATACATTGAAATAATTTTCTAATGTAACTGGCCCTTTGTATACTCATAAATTCTAATCTTTAATTATTTCAATGGCCCATTTAGCAACCCTGGATACTGCTCAATGTAATTAGAGGGTTTACTTTGCATATTTTTCTTCTTGAGACCTTACCTTTTTGGTTAATAATACAAGGAAAAAAAATATATATATATATAACACACTCATGAAACAACCATCACAGTTCAAAAATAAAACATTGCCAACAATTCAAAAATCTTCCCATACACCACTCCCCATACACAGCCCCAGAGGTAATTACTATTTTGAATTTTGTAATAGACATTGCTTTAGTTTGTTTTTTTTTAATCACTTACATATCCCTAAATAGTAACTTTGGTTTTGCCTATTTTGAACTTTGTTTAAACAGAATCATACTCCATGTATTTCTCTGACTTACCTTCTTTTGTTTAACAGTATGTTCATGAGATTTACTAACTGGTGAATTTATGTGTGGTTCACTAATTTTCTCTGCTCTATAATAGTCTACAGAATGAATAAGCCATAATTAATTTAACCAATCTACTGATGAACATTTGGGTTATTTATATTTTTTGTTTATATGAATAATGCTGCTGCTAAAAACAGTCTCATACATGTCTCAAATACATGAACAAGTTTTTCTTGGGAATGTTTTTAGAAGTTCAGTATCTAAAGATATGCACATGTTTGAATTTACTAGGTAGTGCCAAACTGTCCCCCAAAATGTTTATAGCAATTGACACATCTCTTCACCACTGCCTGGTACTGCTAGCCCTTTTTTTTTACTGGCTAATTTGGTGGACATACAATGACATTTCACTGTTTTACTTTGCATTTACCCAACTACATTTACTCAGCTAATGTAGCTGAGCATCTTCTCATGTGTATTGGTCATTTGAACTTTCTCTTTGGTAAAGTAGCATATCAAATCATTTTCCCATTCTTCTTCGTCTAGTCTTTTTATTACTGCCATGGGAATTCCTTATATATTATCCTATTGTCTTGATGTACTATGGTACCACTATGATGTATCTAGATAGGGATTTTTCGTTGATCCTGTGGAGATTTGATGGGCCAATTCAATCTATGAGCTGCCATCTCTCATCAGTCCTGGAAAAATCTTAGACATCATGTGTTAAAATTATTTCATCCCTATTCTCACTCTTTTTGTGGATTAATGATTAGATACGTTAGACTTTCTCACACTGGTCTTCATGACTCCTGACAGCTTTCTGTGCTGCATTTTGGATGGGGTTCCCCCCCATCCCATATCTCTTTAGTTTACAAATTTTCTCTTCAGCTGTTCCCAATTAAAATCTTTTTTTTAAAAATTATTTTTCAAGTACATTTTTTTGTCTATTTCTCCCATCCCAGCCTCCCCCCCCCCGCCCCGTCTCCCCACCTCCCTCCCATTCCCCCCCCACCCAGTCCTCATCCCTGTGTCTTTCATACCTGTTCCTCAAAATCCCTCCCCATTTTTCCCCTTAATTTCCCTTCCCTCTCCCCTCTGGCCACTTCCCACTTGTTCTCTATTTCAGTGTCTTTGTTTTTATTCTGTTTGCTTGTTTGTTTTATTGTTTAGCTTCCTGTCAAAGGTGAGATCACATGGTAGGATTATATCCCAAGAATCCCAATTAAAATCTTATCTCAAGACCTTATCAGTCGGCTTCTGCTGTCAGTTGTTTCAGTGGGTTAAATGCCTTGTTCCCTTTAGTTATTTTTAACAGTTCGTTTTCCTCAGAATTTCATTTGTGGATATAAAGCCTGGATAGAGGGTAGGTTCCTCCAGAAAAAATGTTCTTTTGCTTCTACCAGCAACCTAGGGTAATCTCTAGTCCAAAGATCACTTTAAATTCATTTTTTCAGTTTATGGTTTCACAGAATACACAAGTATTTATGGGTTCGGGACACAAATATGTGTAAGAAATGGCTTGTGACTTCAATTTTTTTCCCCTCTTCATTTAGTTCCTTGGTTCAAGTCAGTTCATTTTCCTTGCAGTAACTAACAACAAGGGCAGGAGCAGAAGCAGGTAGGAGGCAGGGTATTTCTGGTTTATCCTTGCAGTGGAGGTGCATCTCTTTGGGATTCCAGAATTATAGGGGAGGGACCCTCCTGGGAGATTTCGCTCTATGAGCAGCCTCAGTTCTTTGCCTTCAGTAAGTCATGCCAGTGAGGTGGAAAATCCAAAATGTTCTTAGGGTACAATTTCTTTGGGTTCTGGCTTCCATTTAGTGTTTCAGGTTCAGACTCTCTATTTTCTAACTCACGAGTGCATTTAAGGTTTTTTAAATATTTAATTTAAAAAATCTATCTTTAAAGACAGATGTTAAAATATTTATGGATACAATTAAAGGATTCCTAGAATTTGCTTTAAAATAATATATACAAAATAAAGTAGATGGGTCATAGAAAAAACAACATTCATCATGATTTGATAATTTATGAAGTTGAGTAAAGAGTATGCGGGGGTTGATATATGTTTGAATTTTTCTATAATAAAAATCTTTTTGTTTTGGTTTTAATAAAAGTAAAAAAGAACCCAGGACAAGTAAGCCAAAACAAACAAATTAAAAATCTGGAATTCTTAGCTTTTACCAGTGGAAGGGTTAACCCAGATTCCTAGCCCCTAGAATTCCCGAAATCATCCCTTTTGATTTAACCCCATAATTAAATACAGTTATGGCTTTCGTCTTCTTCACAATGGTCTTCTCTAGTTACTAAGAACTTCCCATTCCTTTCTTCCTCTTTCAGCATGTTTGCAATAGTTTCACAAGTATCACTTGAAATGCAAACATTTTTTCCTTTTTAAAAGCAATTATAGTATTAACTCAAATCTTTATCTGTTATTTTCTGAATTATAAGTTGTACCCGGGCTATTTACAAGACCTTTAAATTAAATCACAAGCAGATACATTTTACATTCATCCTCCATTATTGAACACTATAGTTTAAAAGCAAAATGCTTTGTGAGCAAAATATTTGGGTAAGGTTACCAAGTATCAAAAAATGATACAAACTATTCCCTTTAAAGAACAGCTATAATTCTAAAGTTGTAAACATATCTGCAAAAAAAAAATTACCACTTACAAACACAATACTAAATTCTTATCTGAAAAAAAACCATTGTAATCATCACTCTTTACCCAGTCTGTAGTAAAAGGAGCTCCATTTGCCATCAAAATACGAACTTCATCATCTTGACCTGCTCGTGCCGCTTCTAAAAGCTTCTTTCCCAAATCTACCAGGGACATCTAAACAAAACATAGATGAATGTAAAATCTCCAAAGTTACAAAAATGTTTGAACCTATTGAGCCAATGCAAGGCCCACTTCTGATGTCTATCCTAAAATAAAAATAAAAATACAGAGAAACAGATCAATAAAATATATCCGTAAATATGCACATATATATCTATGTATGAGGGGGAACCCCCCAAACCGGAATTTATAAAATATTCTGTATTTATTTTTACATGTTTAAACTTCAGTCACCTTCAAAGTACTCTAAACTTGATGCAATACACCTACTGAGACATTTTTCTCTACTGCTCAAAACAGTTTTTGAGTTCATTGATTTTGCTGCCTTTGAGTGCTTTTCCTGTACTTGTTTCAACTCTTCCACACTGGCAAAATGTTTCTCTTTGAGAACTTTTTCCTCAAGCAAAACAAAAAAGGGTCACTCGGAGCAAGAGCAAGATGGGGTAAATAGGAAGGGTAGGGCATAGGAATAATGCCGGGTTTTTTTTTTTGGTCAAAAACTGCTGAACACTCAGCTCAGTGTGGGCAGATGCACTAGTGAATTACCCACCATGAAATGGGAAAGTGCTTTGAAACAGTCTTCAAAAAAAATTCACTGAAGCTGAATGCAGCTTCTCACAACACCACCGGCTGGTACATTGATACAGATGGTTTACTAGAACACTCACCCAGTGGGGGACCCTGTGCTACAAGGGCCCACCCTCCAGAAGATCATTCTGGTTTTTTTGGACACCCTTCCCCCCCATATACATACATATACGTGTATATGTATGTGTATATATGTGTGTGTGTGTGTGTATATATATAATTATTTTTAGAAGTGAACAATCTAAAGATAGGAAAATGGTTAAATTGTGAAATTTGGTAGAACAGGATGTAGTAATTTAAGATAACTGCTTTAAAGTTATACAATAACATTAATAAGTCACGCCATGTTAAGTGAAAAGATAAGATACAAAACTAATTTTTTGAATGTCGAAATATATACAAACTAGTGGTATGGACATGGGCAATTCTGCCTTCAGTTCACAAAGTTTCTGCAATGTTACTATCTTATCTTCCTAATCTAAAAAGTGGATTTTTAAGAGGCAAATTATATTGTATGACTGTTAAATAATGAAATGTTGACATTAAGGAAGATTATATACTACTGACTTACTAAAAAGAAAAAATGGAAAAAATAAAGTAAATGTAGGGTATTGAGGTCTTAAAATAGCAAACTTATTGATCTGCTTGTAAGAACTGCAATAAAACAATGATGAATTTGAACAAATCAATTTCTCCCATAATTCTGCAATTATTCAAAACATGTATTAAAGTACCTAGGATACTTAACTTACTGTAGTTTTAAAGTTCCATGAGCCATACAGCTATGTAGTAGATTAAAGTAGCTGAATACTTTTAAATCAGTGGGTCTCAATGGTAGAGGGCACTCTGTATTCTGGGGATCAATGCAGGAAGGCGTGGGGTGAAGGTTCTACTAGCGTTTAGTGGGCAAGGGACAGGGACACTAGAGGTCCAGCAATTTAAGGAATAATCCGCTGTGGCAAAGAACTGCCACATTTCCTGTATGTATTTCAAACATTCCACTGAATATATATCTAAGGCTGGAATTGAATATGTAAACAAAACATATTTTCCACAGTTATTAATGTATCCCAAATTTTCCAAAATACAACCATACTATAAATCTAATTGTTTTGTTCAGAACTTTATTAAGAGTTGTTCACCAGTTTGAAAAATCATTTCAGCAATCTCAATGCTACCTACCTGGGTATGTGAACCAGCAATATAAAAAAACGACACTGTATCGTCACGCTTTCACAGCTATCACATTCACACTGATTCTGTGCATAGGTGGCAACCATTTGACTACCCTTGTGACATCTAAGGTAGTGCACTGAATATTTACATGCTGAAATACACATTTATTGTAAGATGCTTTCCTTCTATTTTTCCTGTACGTTAAAATTAAGATACAATAATTTTTGAAATTATGCTGATAGGTTATTAACTATGATTTTCACTTCCAGTTAGCAATAGGGGCAACATAAAATATTTATTATAAAAAAGCTGTAATGGATTTAATTATTTAGAAATAAAATTTAGAAATGAAAATTATTTAAAAATAAAAAACACTTGAGAGCAAGTAAGATCAAAATCAAAGGTGCTCTAGTGCTCTAATTTTCTTACCAAGATAATTAGTAAAATTTAAAATAATATTGAAGTGTAGCAACTCCACTTCTGTTTCTCACCTGAGAGGAACCACACACATCACAGAAGAAAAGCTGTTATCCTTAGAACTCAGCTGCATTAAGACAACAAAACTGACCAAGGGGACAAGCCAGAAAGAGCCCTCAATTCACTTGGTTTACTGTTTACACATTAAATCCTCATGGATAAAGTAGTATTAGATTTAAACAAAACATATAAAAACTTGGCAATAAACATTTTGGTATACCAAATAATCGAATAAAGAACATAATCCAATTCAGTGTATTGTAATGAAGGTTTAAAACACTTACTGAAAATATACTATGTATAATGGCACTGAATGTCATGTAGTTTTTTTCCTTTCATCTTGAGAAACCAACTGAAAAACCCACTGTAATAAATTCCATTTTTAATTCCTTTACTACTTCTAAAGTAACTTACCATAACTTCAATTAAAATGTATTTTAATAAGATCTATAGGGGAACTTCAAAATGTCTACCAAAAAAAAAAAAATCTGCATTTGCTTAAAATTACATGCTGAGAGAGCCATCTAGTGGTAACAGGAATTACAAATAACTAAATTTTTAAAGCTTAACACCTATTTTGCTTTTAATTTCTGTAATTCATAGCCTATAGATCTGTTGTGAACTTATACCATCTCCTGGATATGAAAACTCTCTATAAAATTATAAAGCACTAACTAGTTACATATGAATTGTTAGCACTATTAAAATGAATATGAATGAAAACACTTAGATCAATTACAAAATCCTTAATAATAAGCCTTATCTTATTAAAACTTTTGAATAAAGTATCACTCCTAGAGTACAATTATAAATCCAATAAAATTCTTCTACTATTTATCAAACAATTTAGCACTATGAGAGGAACCCCCAAAAAACAAACCCAGAATTTACTTATTAAAAATTGTGTATTTACTCTTACACTTTTAAACTTCAGTCATCTTCAAAGTACTTTCCCCGTGATACAATACACCTGTTGAGATGTTTTTCACACTGCTCAAAACAGTCTTTGAACTAACTCATCAACTGTGATGCCTTTGAGTCCTTCAGCCATTTTTGTTTCACCTCTTCCACACTGGCAAAATGTTCCCTTTGGAGACTTTTTCATCCCGGGAAATAAACAAACAAAAATGTCCTTTGGGAAGAGGGGAGAGATCTGGTGAACAGGGAGGGTAGGGCACATGGGTCATACTGTTTTTGATCAAAAACTGCTGAACACTCAGTATGGTGTGTGCAGGTGCCCTCATAAATTACCCATCAGGAAATGGGAAAACAGGATGAAACAATCTTAAAAAAAAAATCACTGAAATTGGTGAAGCCTCTCAGCACCAGCTGGTACACTGGTACAGATGAGTTCCTAGAACACTCGCCTAGTGGGGGAAGCCTGTACTACAAAGGGCTCACCATCCAGGAGATAACTCCGTTTTTTGGGGATGCCCCCTCATACGTATGAACCAAAATCCTTTAAGATATTCATAATCTTTGACCTAATAACTTCATTCATATAATCTATCACAAAGAAACTAGGAAACATAAATATTATAAAAGTAATGTAAGATCAGGAAGAACTGCAGTACCCTAGTGCAAACAATAAAAATAAAATAAAATACATCATAATGGGATATTGTAGTGTTTTTAAAACATATTTCTTACTTTTTATTATAAAAAACGTTGAGCAAATACAAGAACAGTCACAATAGTATAATAAACTGCCATAGAACCACCACCTAGCTTCAATATTATCAATTTATGGGCAACCCCATGTTCACATTTTATTTTGAAGCAGATATCGAACATATTTTATCTGTCTGTAATTTCAGTATTTATCTCTAGAAAATAAAGATACCGAACTGAATTCAAAGGTTTCAAAACTGAGATGTTCAAAATTGAACTGAGATGTCCAATACAGTAGCCACTAGCCATAAGAAGCAACTGATTATTGAAATGTAGCTAGTCCAAAATGAGGTATAAGTATAATGCATCAGATTTTAATAACTTAGTACCAAAAGGAATGTAAAATAGCTTTTATATTGATTACATGTTGAAATGATAATATTTTGGATATATGAGGTTAAATAAAACATTATAAAAATTAATTTTGCCTATTTCTTTCACACTTTTTTTTAATGTGTCCACTAGAAAACTTTAAAGTAAATATATGGCTTGGATTATATTTCTATTGGACAGAGCTGTTGTAGAAACATCTTGAAGGCACCAACTGTAGAACTGCTGAGTACAGCCAAGATTGCTACCATATAGAATCGAAGGGCAGACAAAGAACTTCCCAGACAAGGAAAAAATGAAGAAGTTCATCATCACCAAACCATTATTATATGAACTGTTACAGGGACTTATTTAAGAAAAAGAAGATCAAAACTATTAACAATAAAATGGCAATAAATACAACAATTAAATCTGAAAGACAAACTAAGCAAAGAAGAACAAAGACAGAATCATGGGGATAAGAAAAACATTTTGATGGTTTCTAGATAGGAGGGGGGTGGGGTGAATGGGTGAAGAGGTGAGGGGATCAAGAAGTACACATAGGTAGTTACACAATAGCAATGGGGATGTGAAGTACAGTATAGAAAATGGAGTAGCCGAAGAACCTATAGCGCAGGTAGCAAACACAAGGCCCGAGGGCCAAATCCGGTCCTCTGCCTTGTTTTATCTGGCCCCGCACCTTGTTTCTACCTGGTGGCAGCACCAAGTTCTCACTTAACTGTTAAGGAGTAGTTAAATTTATACAGTCCTAA